AGGAACAGTTCTAGACCTACTGAAAAACAGAAACAACTTGATCAGCCTAAGATTGTATGAGAAGGCCCATTCTGTTTTGGGGTACAGGATAGAAGAATTTAAATTGTAAATAATGCTTGTGCATATTAGCTGAGAACGCCTAACTAATTTTTATGAGCATACAAAATTTCTATAGAGGAATCAGAGTCCTAGCATACCTTTGCTACCCAAAAATAACTTCAAACATGTGACAGTAACAGGGACGCAACATAAGTTTAAAAAATATTTAAGACATGCATACTTTGAAAACATCCTAGAAGACAGTTTCAAGCTAAGCAGGAGAAAAGGGTAAGCTTCAAGAACTCTGAAGCACCTGTTTGCACACACATATGTGATGAGATTTAATTGCCTTTTTGCTATTCTTGCAAAATCAAATCTTGCTAACTTTATAACCAAAGCATAGTACATTATTATTTCTATATTATTTTTAGCTAAAGGTAAATCTGAAATGTTTGACTTATTGCACTGGATCAGAAAAAGTGGACACAACTGCACATTTCACTGTCAGTATTACCCAAGAAACTCCCTTTTAGAAAACCATAAACACAATAAAAGTAGTTTATGGCACGCAAGGCATAAGTCATTGCATCAAAGACAAGAGACAGAAAAACGATTTTCTTATGAAGCATTTGACTAGCATTTTGAGAGCAGCTTGAGGGAGTCAATCACTGAAATCCAAAGCAAGTCTTGGGGAATATGCATTCAACACTCGTGAATAACTCTGAAAATCTCTTGCCCATGCAACAAGTTTTCGTATTAACGCATTTCTGCGGGGAAAGGAGATGATAGACTTTAGAGTAAAAGTTAACGCTACCACTTGAAACAGGCATCAATATTAAAATATTCAGGATAGAGAACTCAAGCTACTTCTTTGTGGTTTACTGTGTTGTTCACCTTATTTAGGTCGACAACAGGCATTCCCAGAGAGTAACCAAAAAAAAAAAGCTTCAAGTTTCATTAGAAGCAATAAAAATATAAAATGATTTCTACATAACATTATCACATTGCCTTACTGGTAGAAGTACGGTGAATATCCTACTTAATGAATAACATTTAAGAATATTTCGTCAAGTTCTTGGTTACACACGCCTCATTTTCTGACGCTCCTCACTTCCCTTACTTTTAAAATTCTCAGCCATCAGTCAACATCTTTTGGGTCCTAAGTCACATGTATACAGAAGAACAGAAAGGTAAGATACCCAACTTACCTTGGTGGTTTCTTACAAGGTCGATTTCTTGGTTTTGACATTTATATCTCATCTCTAGCATGCTTGATATTTGCGTTAACAAGAAGTCCACAGAAGTATGCTGGTTAACAGTATTGCAAAGCTTTCATTTTTTAGATCAGAAAGAAAAGTTGCGATCATCAGAATGACCTTCTGTGGAACACAGGCTATACGTCTTCTCCGAATCACTTCTAACCACTAGGTATTATCATACTTAGGTTTACATAACATGGATGTCAGCTAATATGAACAGCAATATTTTAAAACAAATGATATGCTTACTTGTAGTAATGTTCCCAGAGGTTTCTGTATCTGCCTTGGCCTGACATATCAAAAACTGTGAAAGACAAACTGCAAAGAAAAGTGAATTAGGCACAGAAACAAAGAACAAAACCGCAGACAAAGTATTTTCTGTTACCTTGACAGAAAAAAAAGCATGATCAGCTTAAATCCTAATCAATTGGAAAAGATTCCAAAAGGAACTTTGGGTACTATATGTGCCTTCAAACTTTCCTCTCCAGCTTTGTTATCTTTCTATAGAAAGATTTCAGGATGAAAAATTTACATATTATTTGCACATTTTCTGCATAAGAGAACTAAATTGATTATAAAAAGTTACATCAAATAAAAAATAAGCTTCCATTCCGCCTCTCTTCTTCTGACATAAGTATACAATATTGTTTATAACACTGTGTAAATAAAATTCAGGAGAGCCATGACCTAACACCCACATCATGTCTTAAACTCTGTTCCTTGACAGACATCAACAGCATCCAAGGTCTTCTGTAGGTAAAAAAGGCTTTTTAAAAAAAACCCCACTCCAGCTTCAAAAAAAAGCATCACAATCTGTTAATAATGAGTGACCCAGCTACCACAGGCAGTCTTTGGAGGTCTGAGAGTTCACCTAAGTGCCAAACACAGTACAATGCTGAAAAGGAAGCTTTCTCAAAATACCAATTCCACTCTGAATTCAGACATTACCTGATTCTAGAATAGCTGCCCCTGCCATGCAAAGTTCTTAGTAACCCCCAAATGATGTTTTGATTGTAATATTACATTTATGAATTTTTTAAAATTACTCTACACTGTGTACTTGCAGGTCATATCTCGTGTTACAGAATCAGAATAAAGGAAAGCAACATAAATGGATTTACATTCTAACACAGTGAAGCCCAAAACCTGTCTCATGTATTTTACCGAGAGAGAATACATAAAAACGTGAAACCTATCAATTCCATGTGTCAGCCCAAGGAAAAAAACATTTTCTTGCAGATCTCTCATCCAAAGGGGCATGCTGGTTGGTTTGAAACCTGACCGCACCCGTTAAAAATATATAGTGAAGGTTACAAAATAAAAATACTATCTATCTCCTTCAAGCATCTTTTGTCTCATCACTTCCCATTTGTGTATCCTAGCTTTCCTTATAGCTTAGCCTTCCTTCAGCCAATAATTTCCTCCTCCTTTTCCTGACCTTCGCCTCTGCCATCTTTATACTGCTGAGGATGTAACCACTATTTTTCCTTTAATGAGATTAGACTACAATCTCTTCAGAGTCTCTCCAGTGACAGTGCTTAATGGAATACAGGCTACCATCCAAGCAACTGCCTCTCCTCAAGTCTGTAAAAGTGCTGAGATTCTCGAATTCTTTAGGAGATCAGATGCTCGTACACACCATTGCAAAACTATCTGCTTTTTCACACATACAGTTTTATAGCACTGTATACAACACGTTCTAACGCTGCCTCTCCTGAATAGTGATTAGGACTCCTGGATACTGCAGCATTTCAAACAGCAAACTGTATGACATTTCATTATACTACCACACATTATACTTAGTTACATCACACTGAAAGAGGAAAGTAAGTCCAATTAAGTATATATTCAGGTTTATTGTTAAAGGCAACAAATGAAAGAAGACATATTACCTGGATGTCTTGAATTTCTCTATATTGAATCCTATTGTTGGAACTATGTCCTGAGTTTGAGCCTTTAAAGGAAAGAAAGCATGTGTTTTGAAATCAAGTTAGAAAACACATTAACTACTGAAATCTATGGGAAACACAAACACATTACACATCTGTTTTTCCAGACTCTGTGCTCTCTGTGCAATATAGAAACTTTCTAGAAATCCAGGCATTGTATATTTAATAAGTTCCCAGAAAAGTACAATAACTCAGAACTAAGGTTTTGTATTTTCCAGAAAAAAATGGTGGATACTATTGGAGAAAAGATAAGGGCTGAAGACATTTCTGCCTTAAGAGCGAAATCCCTCCCTTTTACATTAGAATGGGTGTGTGCACATGTGTATTACCTATGAAATAAATATGAGATATGCTAATATGGAACATCACAGCTTGAAGAGTTATGACTGACATCAAAGTTCAGAATATTTTTGCACTCTGGAGATCAAAAAGTCAGCCCAAACAAAACTGCACAGTACCCCAAGCCTCTTGGATAAGTGAGGACATACTTTCATCAGCATACTAGATTGGCCATACTCCTACTTGGGTCAATGGGCTAGAGGAATCTATTTGACTTTGGGAAGCATACAACAGATCACACAATGGCCTAATTGTAGTTCTATTCAAACTATCAGATCACTAGAAGAAATCATCATTTATCAGACAGGAAAGGCCAAAACATACAGGGTTATTAATAGACGTGACTGATAACAAGGCTTACTGCTGACCTAGCAACGCAATCCATGAGCTAAGTTGGTAAAACAAAACACCTTCTTTAAGAAGCAACGATATTGAGCAGAGAGAAAGGTCACGCTCCTTTAGATCATAAAGCTGTCTGACAAAGTAACACTCAATCCTTTCACAGACTTTCTAGAGCCTCTTATTATAAACATTGTCTATAAGCAGTTGACTCCTCCTCACATACAACTGAAGTCAGCTTAGTTTGTTCAGCTGCAGAAAAAAGGTATTTCAACAATCAAACTGTTTTGCCAACAGTTCCTGTCATCAAGGGACAACTTTGTGTGAAGCAGAAGAGGTGTTATTTCTTTAACATTTATTTTGAATATATTTATCAGGCCTCACAGAGGCAACTGCAAGCAGATGGAGAAAAATGGAAGGACACGCTTCTTGTTGCCAGTCAATTAATGCATCATTCCTAGGGCAAAGTAGCAGTTCTTCTTAGGAGCACTGGGAAAAGCCAGAGCTCAAAATCATCCGTTCATTGAACTTCCTAAAAATAAGCACTTTTATCAAGTCTGATCTAACGATATTTGTTGCACATTAGAGAATTTCTCATGCCTTGCATTCTTATTAAAACATATTTATTTTACTTGAGTAATTCTCTTCGCACCTTCTTGTATACCCATCACTATGATAAATCTTGAAGTCAGTGTTCAACCCTAGTTCTGAATCCTTCGCTGCTTAAAGCATGACATAAGAACTCTGCTATAGTGAAGGTCTCCAAAAGGTACATATAAAAATATTATTTGCCTGAGGCAAATTGTATCTTTGCCTCTAAACGACTAGCAACAGATAGTAAGTAGTTTTATAAATCTATTTAATTTTCAGTGGAAAACCAATTCCTAGGAAAGGAACAGTAGCAGTTTCTTTGCCAAGTTACATTTTTAAACTAAGCCCACTGGTATTCTACAGAAAAAGTTAATTGGAAGTTTAAAAACAACAGCTGTGTCCTCATACAAACAGCAGAATTCAAAGTATCTCAAATGCATATAACAGAGATGAACAAGCCCCTAGCCCTGAACATGCCCATCGGAATTCATCTATTCCCATTCCTTTAGCCAGAAATTCTTTAAACAATTTTTATTGTTATAACAATTCCTTAAAAACAAGGTAATCCTACTTCAGATTTTGCTCAGGATGCTAGACGTTCTTAGCGACCTGATAAACACTCATCAATGGATGAGCCAACTGCAAGTATAAATGGTAGTTACTTGAAACTTACCCTACTTTCAGAATGCTGAACCCATCATTAAATTTGTATCTTCCCACTATTTACTATTTTTATTATATATTTATTATTTCTCAATAAGAGCTTACAGCAAAGATGATAAATACAGACAAGTACAGGTTGTTATACAACTGCATTCATCCAGTATGCTTGACACATGAATTGTAATTGCTATTCTGTAACAATTACTTAAGTGACTTAAGAAAGCTCCAGGTCTTGATTTCAGCCATCATGAACATTTCCTTATTGTGCAATCTTAGAAAGTGTGCCACATTAGCAGCGTTGTAAGCATTCACACGCAAATTATGAAAACGTTTACTGAAAACATTTAACTTTAGTCAGCTTGGACCTCTCAAAATACATTTTTTCTACTGTACTAAATCACAACAGCTCTGCACACCTTTTCCATGGTCAGATTTAGTATAACAGCATGTAAAAACAGTTTAAACAAACATCAACTCTGCAATAAGAAAGTTATCAGTGAACTAAGCAAGCTACTTACATTTGAAGGTTTAAGTTTATTTATGATCGTTGTTTTGCCACTGTTGTCCAAACCAAGGCACAAAACATGAACCTCCTTTTTCTTCAGCCCAAGCCATCCTGCCAGTTTGTCAAACAATCCCATAACTCTTGCTCAAATACACAGAGATCACCTGTTGTTCAGAAGATCAAAGGAGGGAATAGCTCTTTAAAAACTGTTATAAGCACAGAAATGCTAGCACAGCAGGCGGGCATGTGGTATGAAATCCTTAAACTTTTAAAAGGATGGTATGAGTAAGATGTTAAGATGTTATACAAATACTGTCACAGCAGGCTTGCCTGGTATACTAAGTAAATGGAGTGTAAGCTGATTACAGTGAAGAAGCCTTGATACAAAAGTAGATTGGCTGTTTATAACCTTGTCTATATAACACAAGGTCCTTGGTTCACTGGGTAGCAACGCTGGCATTACTCTAAGCATTCCACATAACAGCACAACTATTATACCTCCTTACCATCCACTGAACTGGGATGAAGGGGAAAAAAAAAACCCCAAAGCAATTACATTTTATTTCAAAATGTCAGAAGTCTAGTTGGTCATCATAATTTAGACTAACACTGTATTTGCCTTCTTTAGCACCTGCTATATGATTTACTGAAACCAGAATAAATAAAGTATGCTCCGTCAGTTCAGTTGAAACACTAATTGTAACAGCTTTGCTGATATTAGCACATAGAAATTAGGAACTCATTCAGTATAAACAGAACCTGATTATAATAGATTCGACAGGCATGAGGCCAGACAACATAACCCTCAGCTGCACGTCATGTGGAAGCCAAGCTGCTGCTCCTGCCCAGAAGCTGTCTGACTGAAGTTACCTGGCAGTAACACATGAGAGGGAGCTTATATCACGTGTTCTTTTGTAGTACCTGGCTGAACGTGTTTTGCAAGGAGGATAACCTTTGTCTATCCTGAATAACTCTCACTGAGAATCCTTTCAACAATCATATAGCTGAAAACAAATATTTGTGATACACTCAATGAAGTATTTAATTAATGCTAGAGGAAATTTGTAATTTTTTTTTAAAAAAAAAATAATACACACCTCTGAACAAGTCAGACTGTGAACTTAATTACCCTAGAAAATCACAGCAGAAAGGGAAGATGAAAAAACAAAGTCAATGAAAAGTATTCAGACTCACTTCTTCAGTAAGTAATTACAAAATGATGATTAACCACCTTCTGCTATAAGTTAGTTTCAAATTTTTAAAGTGAAATTAGTCCCTTAAACTATCATCTTTGCTTATAGTATGAACTTTTTTTTTTAAATATGGATCTTTTTTTAAAGTTTTGGCACTACAATGCATTTTGATGCAGTAATCTGTAGAGTGGCTATGTCCGTAATAGCTATAAACAGTTGTTACCAGACCAAACAAGCCTAAAACTAGTTATAGCAATTCTCTCATTAAGAAAAAAAAGTTTCCTCTAACTTCAGAAGAAAGACTTCTGAAAGAACAGGGGTTACATTTCATTTTTCCAGTCCCAAGTATTCTAGCCTGTGTGAAACAATGTCTCTCTCAATGAACCAAACTAACTCAAGAAAAAGGGGTGTAAATTGTGACTTAAAGGGAGCATGCCATGTCCCGGATCTTATACATTCATTCACAAAATTGAGGGCTGAGATGAGAAGAGGCAATGACAAAGGGAAGGAGGAGTGAACCTTGCAGACACTCTTAAGTGAAAGAGGAGAAAGTAGAAGAACTTAGATGTTTATAGGACAACCCTAAAATGCGTTCTTCAACAACAGTTTCTAGCTAACTAACATTTTTCTAGCAGAGTTTCATAACAACTGGCAAAGTTATTATTTAAAAATATAACGGGAAAAACATACTCTTCCTTACTTGTCCTTTTTCTTCCATGCTTCTCCTCAGCTAAAAAGAGTTACCAGTGAAGAGATCAGCTCCCTGGAACAAACTAAGTATAACTAGTTCAAAAGGCAAGCATTTAGGAAAGTAATTTATGTGAAACAGGAATTTTATTGGAAATCAGATCTGCATTCAACTGGCACGACAGGTGATGTTATCATTGAGGTAACTTGCACCTAAAGCACATAAGATCCTTTTCTTGCCAACTGATATTTAGCCTATGGCACTAAATAACATATAACATTAGACCTACCCTAAAATTATTTGAAAGAGAGTTTGGTCAAGTAACTTGTTTCCAAACTCCATGAATCTACTACGTCAGGACCTGCAATCTAAACTAAGTCTATTTAGGCAGCAGTGATTGATATTCACTGTGCCTAACCAGGCTGTGAAACTCTTGAAGCAGATAAACTGCTCATGCAAGGCATTTGGAGAAGCAGTGCTTAAGCAGGCTGTGAAACAGCATCAGGTGAACCACACGGCCCTGAAGGCACTCCTGCAAATGATGTCCGGGCTCTGCCACCTCCCTTCTGTGGCTAAGCCGTGCATCACAACCCGCTACCCTGCTTATCAGCGCTAAGCATGAACGACAAATTAAAACGTGTGCTAGCCGCGTTGCGGGTATTTTGAGTTTTTGAGAAGGTGATCAGGCCAGACAGCCTCCAGAGGCCCCTTCCAAACTAAACCATGCTGTGGTTCCATTTAATTCGCTTGGATGAGCTGAATAAACCAGGTTATTTACAGTTATTTACATTAAACGCTGAGATACCAGGGCTGCCCAGGCCATCCTTTACGGTCAGTATCATTTAAAACTCCGACCAGAAGCCCTCTTTCCCCTACTCCCACTGCAAGCAGGAGAGGAGCTCTGGGCCCGCCAGGACCGGCGTGGTGCCTAGGGCCGGAGCT